CTTAGTGATTATTATTTAACTAATGCATTAAACCAAGCAATATTTTAAAAACGTTCTGCATTGATCTATAAAATGGAGTAAGCTCCAATTAAGGATGGAATATACTAGTGCCACCTGACCCATATATTTGGCATGTGCTTTACGGAAATAGGTTCAATTTGTATTTGCTGCCCTTTAGAATGGAGTTGTATGAGATATAAGTTTCCTTTTTCCCCCCAGTAACTGTATATATTTCCTGGGTAATACTCAATGATTGTGAAGATTCAAAAGAAATGATAGTCTTGCATCAAGATGATGCCCCCATTGCATTTTCTTCTGAATGCTAATCTTTTGCAGTGCTTTATGCATTTGTTTTTATTCTTACACTTTTCTTATTATTATTTTGAGATAGATCCACGTTGATCTTTTTTTTTTCTGCTTAGATCCATGTTGATCTTTTTTTTTCCTGCTGCAGTGACTGAAGCAGAAATGGAGAGATTAAAAGATGCTTTAAAGCTGCTTTCAGGAGCAGAGAAACAACTAAGGATTTCAAGTGAACGTTCAACATGGTTTACAGCTACTCTACTACAGCTTGGTTCATTGCCTTCACCTGATCTTACTCAGGCAGGCAGCAGCCGGAGGCAGAGCTCAAAGACAACTGAGGATGACCTGCAAAGCATTTCAAGGGAAGCTATAGCTTACAAGCTGAAGTCAGGAACTCGGTGTGTGCCTTGGAAGTCAACTTCTGCATCATTACACAAATCTGTGAATGGAAATTCCAATCGTCAGGGAGAATTAGTGTCAGGGGTTGATGGTTATGGTTCCAATTCCAAAACTTCACACAGTCTATATATGGATGGTGGTGCTGTTCCTTCTGCACATGACAATAATTCAAATGGAAATATGATACTTGCCTGCAGAAATTCTGAAAAATTAGATGACATCTGGGCAAAATGTATTAACAAGTGTCACTCAAAGACATTGAGACAGCTGCTACATGCTCATGGAAGGCTTTTGTCTCTTACTGAAAATGAAGGTAAGCTTATAAACTTGAAATTATTTTGTATAATTTTGCAAATTACTGAATGATATACAAGTATTCTTGATAAAATTACATCAAATCTGTGATATCAATCTTCCTGTTGTCAGTTTGTGAAAAATTTATTTGTGAGATGGACCATAAAGGTCTATGATGCATAAATGTTATTACAACACCAAAGAGATGGGAAGTTACAGGGATAGGTTCTCTTCATCTCTTTTTTAACACTATGCTAGCTTTTATTATTCTGACCTATCAGTCTTGCTTCTTAAACCTTCAAGTTGAAATTTCTTGACAGACTGATCTATCATGTATATTTTTTATGTTATTGATGGCTTTGCTAGAACTTGTGATCATATGTTGAAATGTGAGTATATATATTTTACTGATGGTTTTACTTATTTTTATCTCATAATCTATTTTCTTTTTGAAATATAAAAGCGACCAAACATTGGATATGCCTCGGATGTTTAAGGAGTTTATTTGATGAATTTTCTGTATACATAAGAGAATTAATTGATGTCTTGGGTCCAATGTTCCAAACATTGTTGCCACCCCACGAAAGTTTTTGTTCCTTGTGGGTAGAATTTTCTATTTGATATACCATGCTTGAAATTTTTAGAAGGGTTTTCTAAAATAACATTGTAGTCCAACTCAGAGGGATTAACTGGTAGATCACCAATGTCGTGATCCGTACCTCATGTTACATAGGCTATGTACTGTTTTGTGCTAATGTTACCAATGTCTTAATATCAAAGCTTCATAGATTTTAAAATGTGTTAGCCTTTTCTGTAGTATGTCTGTGCATCCCCTTCGGGGGGGAAAATCCTTGACTTTCTATCCTTTGAAGTTCTCCACGCCTTATAACAAGATCTGAAGGTTGAGTGGATATAAAATCCAACTGCAATAGTTGGTACATCTGTATATTTACTTCCACTTGTTTTTCCCATCTCTTGTTTATTTATCCAGCTAATAATGTACATGCCGTACATCTGTTTAATACATAACTTTACATTTTGGTACTGCATTTTTGTTATTCATTTATCTCATACTTTCAGGTTTTTTTCTGCTAGCAGGTGTTCTAATTGCTTATCTCGCATTTGCGGATGGAGATATCAAGTCGAGAGCTGAAAGGTTTTTAAGCAGTATTACAAACTCTATTGAAATAGTGATGAGACGTAATGTAGAAGTTCGAATAATTCTCTTGGCTGATGTTGGGGTTTCTTTAAGCAACCATGCTAATCCAGCTGAGATGACAGAAAGTCTTCAGCAGGTTGAAACTGCTTCCGGAATTGGAAGTGAAAGGAAGGCCATTCCTAAGGATGTGCTTGATGGTTTATCTAGTTTAGACTTGCATTCCAAGGGAAGTTTTGGTGATTTGGAAGGAAAACTGAGAGGACTACAAGATTATTCTAATTATTCTTCACAATCTATTGTGAGAACACCTGACTTGCTAGCCGAAGGCAAATATGACCTTGACAGCTCAAAGGAAAGTAGGCAAGAGATTCCAATGCAAAGAATTGAATCCATTATACGTGAGCAAAGGTTAGAAACTGCCTGGTTACAAGCTACTGAGAAAGGCACTCCTGGATCATTGAGTCGGTTGAAGCCTGAAAAGAATCAGGTTCTGCCTCAAGAGGTCTGTCGTCAAAGTAATTTGGGATCAATAAATTCATCGGCGTTCTCCTCTCAGAAATGGGATGAGGAACTGAACCAGGAGTCTAAAATTTTGAAAACAAATGATGGACAAGAGGTTCAGATGGACCAGATAGGTAGAAGAGCTGATCATTATCCCATGTCTCCCTGCTTGCTGCACAATAGCAATTTAAGCAAAGAAAACCTGTGAGTTTGACTGATACCGTTACTGTTTTTTCCTATTATTTTCACCATTTAGCAATTCTCCTCGTCAACTATTAAATGTTTGATTCAAAGACTTTGGTAGGTCGATGCAATGACTTGGTAAGCAATACTATAATTGAAAAAAAAGTTCATAAAAAGCCTTCATGCTGGGAAACATTCTTGAAACCATTCAGCACTGTAGCGATTGATTATTTTTCATCATAACTAGAAGCTAATACTATTAGTGCTTTGGTAAAATAATTACAAGGTTTTGAACACTCGTAAAACTGTAATCATGACTAACAGTTCAGTAGTTGTTAACTTTTCAATTTAGTTAAATTCATTTGTTTAGTTTTTCAGTGTTCTCTGGAATAAGGCTTTTATTATTATTTATTATCTGGTTTAAATTGGACCAAAGGTTTGCTTTAGAAGTTAATGAATGTCCATTGTACATTTTCTTGTCTGCTTAACTAGTTTCGAATGTTCTTGCTCCCAAGGCTGACGTATTAACTTGAATCATTTTTACTATTCTGTAACTAGTCGGGAATGCTGCTTTTGCACTGGTTTGATGATACTTATTTTCTTTTCAATGTAAAGAAATAGACTACGATCTGTTCTTGTGCTGTATACATCATGCTCATTCATAGTTTTTCTTTAGTGGATATGAATCAGGGTCAGGAACCAGAGGATGCAATGGGCTTTTCTGTTGGAATAACTCAAAGCCTCCTAGAAGGGAAAAGGTACACCCCTCCCCCCCAACGCACACACACACTTTTCTTTCTCGCAACATATAAAAGCCGACAGATTCGTATCAAGATTAAACAAAAAGACGTGAACTTTTTTCTTTTAACAGGTCAAGGGAACACCTGTTCGATCATGCAGAACTAGACAATTTTCATTGTTTGGCGAGTGTGGGAAATCAACGAAAATACAAAACAGAAGTAGAAGGTAATTTAGAATGCTCAATCTGTTGTCTTTCCTGATGCCATTTGTTTCTTCAGATATAGATATATATAATTTATAAGTATTTAATTTTCCTGTCAAGCCATGTGAACTCCACGATAGGAAAAGTTGATGTAAAGTTTCTGCTAGAATTTGGCAATTGGTTTTTTAGGTTTGATCATATTTTTTATGGGTGAATAAGAGATTAGAAGGGAACTGTATAAGCTTCAGAAAAATGCATAGCATGATGACTGCCCCCAGACCTGAAATGGTGTTATCCGTTGAACAACATTGAGACATGCTGTAAAATGACCTAAATTATTCCAACAGGTTTTGCTTTGATTTGTTCCCCTTAAAGATTGGGTTCCAACTTTCAGTATGGTTATAACAATGTAAGCACGATAACAATTAATGTAAAATAATCACAAAATAAAGAATACCTAGATTTAGCATGAAAAAGTCATTTTGATTAAAAATTATGGGCAGAAGGGAAAATTTACTATGTTGAAAAAAGAGTACATAAATGTGGTTTAGGGTTTAATCAATTTACTTTTAAACCTTAACTAATCCCTAGTATCTATTTATAGGGATAAGCTTTTTTTTTTTTTACAAAAGAAACTTGTTTAGAAATAAATCTATTTAAACTGAGTTTCCTACTCTCCTAGTGTGCAAATGGAAAAGTAGAGTTTTATACGAATTAAACTTTTCTGTACCGCCATTGCAAATCCTCTTTTTAGTCTTTATTTTAAATGAGTTTCTTCCTAATTATCTCTGATCCGGTCAAAAAAGAATTTGGCTCGCACAATTCTTACAATGACTTATTTCCTTGTGTTGTAAGAAAACTCAGAGCAAAATACGGATAAATTTTAATTCAGTGTATAACATATGATTGTCAAATACAAAAGAGTATAAGTATGGGGGTGAAATGTTTCTAAATAAAGCTAGTTGAGGTAATTTTCAAGGGTCATACACTATTTACCTTGAATATGTCACCAAGGGAGGCTGAACAAGTTCTTCACCTGTTAGGTGAGCCAAGAAGTAACATAAAGTAATATGAAAAGTAACCATAAGAAATTAACTGCTAATAGAAACCTCTCCGTGCTGCGATTGATTAAAAACTTGACTTACAAATAATTATAGGGAGATAAAATGGCACATTTTGATTTTGTAAAAGAACACCAAAAGATGCAGGTTTGTGGTTTCAGATATATAACAAGCGACCTGTAATATTTGTTTCTGGAATGCGGCAAATCTTGGACCTCTCAGGGCCACTCCCCTTGGCGCATTTTGTCTCTAACTTAGGACATCTTATAGTACAAAATCTTTCTAAATTGGGTATGCTTCGCATAACATCGACAGAAGGCAGATACATGATATTATGGCATGAAATGAGTTGCATAAGCTTTAGAGAATAGATATTTCCCAACCACTCCGGCAAGGCTTCCATTCCTTCAAACTTGTCTATCGTCAATTCCTCGAGGCCGGTGAGGAGTTGAAGTTGGTGAGGGACAGACTTAAGCTTTCTCCGTCCGATCAGATGCAAAACTTGAAGGGAGTGACTGAGATGTTGGATGGAATTCAGATTGGGGAGTTCTTGCAGCTCTCCGGAGAATCCACCGACGGTTAATTTTCGCAGGCAGTTAAAGGCTACTAAGGCTGTCATCTGGAATGCTCCTCAATCTTGGACATCTCATGATGGTTGTTAAATCATAAAGAGAATGCAGTCTCTCCAGACCTTCTGGAACTGATACCAGATCAAGTAAATCGGATATCGTTAGATTGCAAAGGCAGGTGTTGGATAGCAATGAGTTTGGCAGCAGACGACTTAATCCTTCACCTATTTCGATCAATTTCAATTCTGCTAGAGAAGAGAGTTCATCTATACTTGGAATGTGATTCAAATTAGGACAAAACCATATTCTCAATTCTTTAAGACATGGCAATGGTGCTCTAAGTGGAAATCTCTCCAATTTGCTGCACGAAGCAATTTTTAATCTTTGAAGATAGGAAAATCCTTCCATATATGGAATGGAAGTTAAATTGGGACAAGAGTTTATCTCTAGTTCTTCGAGACAAGTGGCAGTAGACAGTCCATTTTTTTTAGATTTTGCATCCCCTCTAAGGTGGATTTTTGCAACGCAGGAAACACCTTGATCACCTCATTGTCACCACCTCTACTTTGACCGTAATGAAATTCATTACCCATGCAGTCCATCTTCACCAAGTTTTTCAATTTAAGAAAATGGTGGTTCTGCAGTTGGCCTAAAGGTGGAAGACTTGTACGTTTGCAATTGATTAATTCCAACTCCATCAAATTGTTGAGCAAAAACAAACCAGTATTAGAACCATGAATAGGTCTTAACATCCACGAGCGAAAGTTTTTCCTGGATAATCAATTACAATTAAGCTCTGCAAATTTGAGTGGCGTTGGGGACCTTCCAACACTTGCTCACTGTTACAATCCCTCACCGTCCATCTCCATTCGAGTATCACTTCGCATAATTTTTCTTTCCGGTGTAGATTCGCTCCGTTAGCCTCTTGTTTGTGTCTAACATGTTGAAGGTTGCATATCCTCAATTCTCCATGGAGTTGATTAATGCATCCGAGCTCCTCAATCCAATGTCCCCTTTCTGAACTCACGAAAAATACGGTCAACCTTTGAAAACAAATTAGGTTTCAAATATTAACTGGCTGAAGTTCTTGTCTATCAAAATATAAGTGCTTCAAGCTTATCAAATTTCTCAGTCCATATGGAAGTGTGAGTCCCCATAAACCCATGAGCCTCAGTGTCTGCAAATTGTAAAGTTTGGCTATGGACCCAGGTAGTGCTCTGATGAACGTCTTTGAGATGTCGAAATACCTCAAGTGCTTCAATTCTCCAAGGGAAGCTGGCAGCGTAAGGATATAATTAGCACCAAAAAACTAAAGGACTCTGAATCTTGTGAAGGTTCTTGATAGTTTCTTGAACAGATCAATCTCCGAAAACAATGAGTGCAATTTTGGAGTAACTGTTGTCAACATTATCGCTAATGCTTCCCCGTCACAACCGAAATTGAGATGCCAAATATGAGATACTTCATCTATGGTCAAAGTGAAATATTCTGGAAAAATTAAAGTATCAGACTTTGACACGGACAATGCCAGATTATGTACCAAGTCATGCATCTTGAATGTGAGAATATTCCCGCATGTATCCTTCTCGACTTCTTGGAATAAGGTATATGATAACAATTCATTCAAGTATTTGTTACCAATATCCACCATTGCCATTGAGTTGCCGAGAAATCCTTCAGCCATCCAAAGTTGGATCAACTGGTCTTTCTCAAAGCAATAATCTCTGGGAAACATGGCACAGTATGCAAAACACTTCTTTAAAGATGGAGAAGATAATCGATCAAAATTCAATTTTAGCACGCTTTCTCCTGAACCCCATACATCACTTGTTTCAATTTTCATCCATGCATCCTGACTTTTCTCAATGTTGCACATTGTCCCTGCTATAACTTTAGCTACTAATGGCACAGCTTGACACTGTTTAGCGATTTCCCTTCCGATGAACTCTAGTTCTCGAGGCATTGGAGAGCCTCTCGGTGCACGTTCTTTAATTATCGACCAACATTCATCGTCTTCTAGTTTTCCTGCTTGATGCCATTGACTAGGAAATGCTTGCACTGCTGATGCTACACCTTGACTGCGTGTCGTAACAATAACTCCACTCCCTCCATTTTTACAGATTCCTATTAGACAAAGCTTCAGTTCCTTACATTTCTCAACACTCCACACATCATCAAGAACAAGAAGATACTTTATCTGTTCCTTTTCTCCTTTGGCCTCTTCCATCTTCTCTTTATGTTTCTGGACTATGGCATTCATACTATCAGATATTAAAGTACGTTGATTCGGGAAATGATCCAACATCTCCTTTAAAATCCTTTTCACATCAAAATCATTAGAAAAACATACCCAGGTTTTGACATCGAAATGCCTTTCCACACTCACATCCTTGTACACCAGCTTGGCTGAAGTGGTTTTACCAAGGCCTCCTGGTCCTACAATAGGTACAAAAGAGACAACTTGGTCATCTTTGGGATTGACTAACAAATCAACAACCTTTGAGACATCAGATTTCCTTCCAACAATGTTTGAGTCATCCATGAAAGAGATTGTTTCCACATTTGATCTTCCAAATACATGAGATTCATGATCCATGGCACTCTGATGGAGACCAAATTGATTGGCCAATTTGTTAAGGTGGTCCAAAGATTTAAAGATGTCCTTGATTTAATTAGCCATACTGAAATGAAATGCAATTGAATTGGAAGGAGAAAATAAGTCAAATACTTTCCTCCCAATGTGATCCTGAATCTCCACTTTCCTTCTGAGGATTTCATATGAAAACTCATCCAATACATCGTCAGCCTTGTAAGCAACAACTTTGAGCCTCTGCAACCAAAGCTTCACCAAGTTGTTCTTCGTTCGTCCTTCCTCTGCATCTTGCAAGAAAGCTTTGATCATTTCTAGTGAGTCACCAAGCCTTGTCAACTCGTCCTGTAAACCCCATGCAAGGTCGATATGTTCTGTAGTGATTGGAATCACCTTTGACAAAACTGCTTCTAAAACAGCACCAACATAAGTTTCAGCCATGTTTGATGATTCAATACCTTGAAAAGCACGAAACGTTAGAAGACCCTTGGAAGGAAAACGAAGAAGATTAAAACAATAGATATTTGAAGGGATGAGAGATTTTACCAAGTGAAGGACTATGAGAAACGAAATGAAGATGCCAACAATCTTGAAAGAAGCTATCTCTAGATGTTATTCTATTATGGTTGGTTCAGATTGGACCAACTCAAAGTTTGAATTGTCGTTAAAATGTTTTGTTTAAGTTAGATTTGATTTCAACACTGAATCTAAACAAATTATTTCTTAGGGGAAAAAAGCTTGGAATTATGGGGTTTTTTTTCCATTCCAATTTCATAAAGCTCCTAAAGTCAACACGTTAGGTTTCAAGAAAATGTATGTACAAAGCTGAAATTGATATATAAATAAAATGCCATGACCTCAACGTAAACGTAATAGCAATTTTTTAAACAAATAATGTACCATTAATCCTTTGAGGCATATTCCATAGGTGGGTGTGAGAATATAATCTTGGGTAACCTATCACAGTGGTCACTTTTAAATCGCGGCCGATTAAAACAGAATTAAAACGTAATTTTAGATATAATTTTGAAAAGAAATAATAGTCGATGACTAAAACGGAATTAAAGTGACAGTGAGGTGACTAAATATATAGTTTATGCTTATTTTTTACTCTACTCAATCATTAGGAAAATTCAATCCCTAAACTGCAGCTTTCTATTCTCCCTCGATTCGCAACTTGTCTACCTCTTCTTGCTTTTTCACACTTCACTTGCTTCTCCTTCCGTATAACTCAATTTCCAACTTTTCAAGAGGCCAGGTACTATTACTTTACTGTTTTATATTGATTTTTTTCATTTTTCAGTTGCATTTTCGAATTGATTTGTTTATTTCATTGGATCCGCGGGTTGAACCCAGCAGTTTTACTTTCCGTCGGATCATTAAAACATTTATTTTCCACTCTTTAATTAGACCTTTTTTTCCTGCTTCATTTATTTATTTGCTTTCTTTCTATTATTGCGGTAATCTATGCCTTTTATAACACTGATTACAAAAATTTATTTTCTCCGGAAGCATTTCCTTGCATATGGATGCCCAAGGGAGGAACAAGGCGGTGTTTCGCGCCAAATTGATTGCACAGAAGAAGGAGAAACGCGTAGATAATCCCCTTATCAAGTAAATTTATCCCTTCAAGACCATATAATTTAGCCATGAGATGAATATATAATTGTTCTAGCAATGCCTTTCTATTATTCATTTTTCTTGGGTAATATTTTTTTTTTTAATTTTTTGAAGTGTATTGGACTAGCTTTTCAATTTCTGTTTTCTGAAGGATTGGTCTGAAATATATCCTTTTGGAACTTGAAGTACTTTTCTGTGGGTAAAATTTTCTCATGCTTGCATTGGAATTCGTCGTGCTTTTCAGATTGATTCTTAATGTTATTGTTATTATATGGGTATGTTCTAAAATCGATATTTTTTACTAGAGGATGTTGCTTGTAAGTTTTTGGAGGCATGAGTAAAGCGTATTCTTGACATTTTCTCATTGCTAATGGATGAAAATTAGATGTGCAATGGTACTTCTTTTGGTATAATTTCTTTAGATATGCCTCGTTGCTCTCTCTATAGTGTTCATGGTAATTTTGATTTTCATCTTCAAAAGTTGCTTTCTAAGTAGCTATATCACGTTTAAATTAATTATGACTTGTTTTCTTAAAGTACTCTTTCTTTTCTTTTGCACATGAAGGTACAATGAATCTGACCAACCTGTCTGTCGGGTTTGTGATGTTGTTTTGAAATCCGTATTCCACTGGGATGCACACCAAGCTTCACGTAAACATCATGAGGTAATCTTTTTAACTCCCTTGTGTATGACATTCAGAATCGTGACACAAACTCGCTGCCAAAGGTGGGTTCAAAAATTCTGTTATAATGCTAATGTGAGAACTCACAAGGCATGTTCAATGATGTTGAGTTCCTTTGAGAGAAGTCTTTAGATTATTGATTTGGTCTCGGACAGTTAAGTCTTGTTTATAGAGTGTGGTGAGAATGCTACAACATAACAAAGGCTGTTGATAGTACTTTTAAAATAATCTCTGAAGTTTAAGGAGTTACTTTTGTAATTTTTTTGGATTGGCTGATCTCTATTGCCAAAATATTGGTGTACTTAGGCAAAGTTGAGGAAAAGTTTGAGTACTTTAAAGCTAGAACATGCACTGTTTGTTTGCCTCCGTCTTATGGCACATGTTCCTCAGTCTGTTGTTCATCACTTTTTATCTGAAAAGGTTTTGAAGTGTGCTTTTGACAGTTTCTCATGTAAATTGTGTAGTTTCTCAGATCGTGATTTATTAATTTGAATAATTTAGATGCAATAGATATAGTTATCTTCTTTTGAATCAGAGGGATAGATATGGATTTAAATCCAATTTCTGATCTATAGTAATTTTTCATTTGTTTTATGTATTTATTCAATTTTGGTGAGGCCATTTAGCTTCAAATACTGCAATTGTTATATTAATATTTACCAGCCAAATGCAAAAAAAAAAAAATCTTGCAATGATGGTTATGAGTTTACTTGAACTATTCTTGGAACTAGTTAATAGTTTAGGGAAAACTTAACTGTACTTTCAGCTTTGGGGTTTCCTATTATGGTTGGTTTACAAATAGGTAGAACAGAGATTCAAATACCCTCATTTCTCCCAGGTTTTACTATTAGGGTCTGTAGTTTCATTTCTCATTGATTATTTGTTCCATGATTCCTTTGCTTCTGTACTTATACTTTTATCCATCTTATTTCAATATACTTATCAGAGGCTTTATGTTGGAACAGGCAATTAATACCTTGAAAGCTACTGCAGCTAGGCGTACTCACGCTAGCAATACACAATCTGAGCTGCTTCAAGGGTTTTTTCTATAATCATGAGGCGGGGAAGCAAAAAACAGGTAATAGCTACTGATATGACTTTATTTTGTTTTCGACTGCATTTAGATTTGCTCCCTATCGAAAATGTAGGTTTATAGTAGGTAATGGTAATTCGACTTGACATAATTAGTTCACTTATGTAACAGAGATTGCAAAGACGGCAGATCTAATTCAAACAAAAAGCTTGGAATTTCAGCCCAAACTCATGCAAAGGAGTCTCTATATACAGAGACCGAGGATGATGGTTCTCCTCAAAATAGTGCCATTCAAACAAAGGCGACTCAGATTCCTGATTCAAGACAGGTCACTCAGTTAGAAACCAAGAAAGTGAAAGGATCTCTTCCTGATGACTTCTTTGATAAGGATGAAATCAAGTTGCCTTTGGATGTCATGAAGCTATCCAGGGAGAATAAACAGGCAGCAAAGCAGGCTAGTGCTCCAGAAACTAGAACCATGCAATTGAAAGGATCTCTTCCTGATGACTTTTTTGATAAGGATGATGCCAAGTTACCTATGAATGTTATGAAGCCTCCTAGGGAGAATGAACATGCATCAGAGCAGGGAAATGCTCTGGAAACCAATCAAGTAAAGGGAGTTCTTCCTGAAGGATTCTTTGACAATAAGGAAGCTGAATTATGTGCTCGTGGCATTAAGCCTGTTAAGATAGATGTCAAGTAAGCTCCTAGTTAGATGCATTAATGCATATTTAAAAAGCCATCGACTTCTGATTTGAAAGTTATATAACTTTATTGAAGCTATTCTTTTGAGGGGGAAAGTATAAAAATTTAGAAACTATGATAAACAATTTACATTAGTGTTCAAGTTCAAGCTTTGCCGGCACAACTACTATCTCTTCTCTTTGTAATTAGCTGATAATAGTGCGTAACTAAGTTGCTCTTGAGAAACTAGTTCAGTTTAAATGAATTCTATTTGTAGTTAAGTGTGTTTGATATACAAAAATTGATGGATAACATAGAATAAACCATGTTTTATTACTAAGAGGATGCTAATATAATTAATTGGATAACTTTTACTTGTAGTATAAACTTTACTCAATCCTCTTGAAAGGGAGAGGCTTTCTATGTGCTGGGATTAGAAGCTCGAGCTCTTATTTGTAGGCTTTATATTCCACCTCTAAGTACTTGCTTTTCCTTAAGGAAAAAAATGCATTTAACATTCTTTGGTTTAGTCGGTCAATATAGTCATTCTATCCTTAATCATGCACGCCAAACAGAAATTCTGTCTGTCTAACCCGAGACATGTCAAACGGAGAATAGGATAAAGATTATAATGCAGTTCAGAGGTGGAAACAATGAAGAAACACCAAAACAGTAAGAAAAATATATAGAATGAGGGCTAAATGTAAAATTGAAGTTGGAACTAGAACACTATGGTTTAGGATTGTAGAGCCACCACGGAACAATGTCCAGCTATAATATGACCACCTCCAGGGGGAAAAACAAAGGATATAATATAACTGCTTAATGTGTCTAAAGGAAAATATATTACTAGGGTTCAGGTAGAATTTTATCAAAGATAAGAAAGTAATTTGGAATAGCTTTAGAGTATCCCATCTACCGAGTGTAAGCTTAAGAAAATTAGTCTATGATACCTCCCCGTATGATTATATTTAAAAATCAGTTCTCTAATGAAAAGTATTTTAAATTTTTAGGGATACAGAGAGAACTAGAAAAACAGGGATATTCAATAAGTTTCAAAAATAAAAATAAAAGAAAATACCTTTTGAGTCATCCTACATTAGGTGATCCTATTTGTCATCCTATCCTCTTCAGGTGAACACTAATCTTGGTATAGAGATAGTTTTATCCTATTCTATTCATCATCTTCACACTGAATGCACCATTATTTTGGCGTTTGTTATTCTACTCTTCTGATCATCTCTTATACCAAAGACAAGTGCTTGAATAACTTTAGCAATATGAGCTAGTATTGAACTAGTGCTTCAATATTCAATTTGCATAGATAATTGGCCAAAATTCTCGCCTACCTGTATATCGTTTTCGAAACAATACCTTGACTAATTCTGCATCCTGGTCAGAGATGAGTACAAGGAATTTGAAAAGTTGATTCAAGAAGATTTGCAAGTGGTGGACAATCGTATGGAAGAAGAAGAGGTTAGGTCCTTTTCTCTCCTTGTAGCATCTACTGTAGCTGTTTTGCCTGCATTGTAATTCAGTTGCACTGTAGACTTATTTAAGTAATATGTTTTTCAACATGCAGATTGATGCAGCTGAAATGATCGAAGAGGCTGAATCTTTGGAGCAAAAGTAAGTTTTTGGTGCTTGTCCCTGTTTGTGGCTCTCATCCACCTTTTTTCAATTGTGAATAAAAGGCAACTTGCTATCATAGTCATCTAGTTTATTTATCTTTTTCCTCATTCAGGGTTTACAAGCAGAAAGTCGAAATGTTATGGAAGAGGAAACTGGAATTGGACTCCACTAGATCGAATAAACGTTGCAAGGGGAAGGAAGCTGATAGACAGGAATCTGACAGTGAAGATTCATCTAGTGACGGTGACAGTGATGAGAACTTTGCAGTTGATTGGAGAGCTCAACATCTATGAAGTCTACTGCAAATATTGAATTTGTTCTCCTTGGAACTGTGAGTGCTCGTCTTTTTTGACATTGACGGCCGTATAATTTCCAAATCATGTATTGTATATATACTGATTTCTCTAAAAACATGTTTTATAGTATTTGCAACTCATGGTCCGAAGCATATAGGAGTGGAGATGTAAAGTGCAATGTGTCTGTAGTAGAGTCGTATAATGTTTGTCCAAAGCACAAATTGTCTACTCTAGCTTTAAATTCTGATCTTTGGTGCTGATCCTGTTGCAGATTTTAGCAGTGAGATGAAGAGACAAAATCCAAATGCATTCTGTTCAATTTTGCAAGATGCAAAGCAATTGAACCCTAGTCGTTTCGGCTAAATATAATCTTTCAACCAAGTGACAGTAGCATCCGTGCCATTTGTATATAAGATGGGTGATTAGGTTGTGAAAAGTTTATCGAGTAATGGCTAATCTGTTCATTGACGACTTCTAGTTTAAGCTTGGTTTACATGTGTTTATGGATTGGAGAATTTCTATTCTGAATCTCAGTTTTGTATCGAGTAATGTAATTCTGTTGCAGGCTTGCAGCTGCACTTTAGTTATTAATAGATTTAATGTAATTTGTGACTAACCTGATGTCAATGAAGAGGGATTATATAAATTACTATACTATTATTACCCATCCAAGAGCCTGGTTTTGAATGTCCGGTTGAAAATTCTGAAAATTAACCTAGTTGATTTATGCATTTGTCTTTAAAAATTTGACGTCATATTTGTAAAATTGGTTAAATTTCAATTTAGCATTTATAAAGATGATAAAATAGAAGTTCTATATATTTTTCAAACTTTTATTTGTAGTTAATGAGATTATAATCTCTTGGCTCTATACCAAAGGTATTAAGATTTATGCATTTTTTTTTTGTTAATTATGAATTATTTTTATAAAATATTTTACACTGAATATGTCTCAAGTATATGAACATTAAAAAATAATTTTAGAAAGAACACCAGGAGTGGTTCCAATTCCAATGTTAACGGGTAAGATGTTCTCTTTAGGTGATTCAAGTTCGATTTTTTTTTTTTTGAATTAATCACTGGTATCCGATCTATTGACTAATCCAGATCAGGTACTGTAGAGGCGACGGCAACCCTCCCAACACAGTTTGTTTCATTCGCAAACGCTGAGATTCGAACCCATGACCTTGCTTAAAGGACTTAGTGTCTCATCCCACTAGACCGACCAGTTGATGGTCATGCTCGATTATTAACAAACTGTGCGGTGTAAGGAATCGAGACACGAGAAATTAATCTTTGACTCTAGATGAAAATTACTTAAAACATAATTTAGTGGACTTGGAGAAAATATAACAGATTGAATGGACGGACATAGATAAGAGAATGCTTATAATGAGAAGACGATAGGAAAGATTTGAGTCGAATGCTTGTTGAATATTTGTGTTAATTTTAGTTACTCATAAAATTCATGATGATAATAGAGGTGAGAGGGCGGATGAAGGTATGTGTTTCCAAACCCTATATTTAATTCTCAGAGGCTACACAAACTAGAATCGTGTATAACTGGATTTATTCGTCCTAGCCGCTGGCTTGGACTTTGATGTAACTCTGCTAAGATGCCCACATCATATGGTTCTTGTATGAGCAGTAGTTTCTAAATGATATGGTTTTCTCTAGTGAAGTTTAGAAACATAGTCATGCGTGTTGAGATTGAAAAGTTCAACAGAAGAAGAAAGCAAAAAGATGCGACCTGGTTCTAGGGAAACACGTCTTGTTCATGAGACTTCAATGGGAAGAGGAATGTGACACTAGTTCTCAACTTTAAATCCAATGTCTTTAGATATATAAATGTGAGGTTTGGTCTTAATTAATTTGGACTAACTCGAATCGCACACCCTACTTTAGTAGATGAGTCTCTCAAATGGATTTTCTGCATACATAAGGATTCGAACTCAAGACATTCCTTAAATGATATCAAATTGCTTATAACTTGAACTAACATCCGTTGGTTGAGATTGGGGGGAGGGGAAGGGTAATAAGCATGTAAAGAAAATCGTGTTTGGACTAAATTTTAAAGCATATAATAAAAATTCATATTTTAGATTGAATTAAACTTTAGCATTCATATAAAAAAAAATGTAAACATAATACAATTGGGTTTGCTGGGAGCTTATAAAGTTGTGCAAATAACTCCCCACGATCTAATGTGTGTTTCGCTATAAAATTATGAATACGATCGTATGATTTTATATTGAAAATTTTAATTAAAAATTTAAGAGGTTTGAAGTTTTAAAATTTTAAAAAGTATAAAATTAAATTATCAATAAAAATATAAAAGAAATATATAAATCATACGAGAATTTAATTTTTTTGGAAAGTATGATGATACTTTCAACGCATTTCGAAGCATCCTTGAAAGAGATGGTGTAAAAGTAAAGGATAATATACCTTTAGTGGCAGCCTTGGATCTCATGCTAATGCCCTTAAATGCGCTCCTTAAGTCAGTCAAGACAAAATTCTAAAAGGGATGATAACCCTACTCTTTTAGCTTTTTGCTTCCAAAAGATTCAAATCGACTCCCTGATTCTCTTTCATAAGCCTAAGGCAAGGGCCCAGGGTCAGATACCGCAGCCAAATAGGACGATTGAAAACGTCAAACCTCCAAAAATTTTTGGTTTAGATACTTATTAGGTCCTTGTTAGTTTTGAAATTAGATAAATTAAACCTTAACTAGTCCCATTTTTGAGTTTAAATACTTCGTCGATCCTTACCAATTCAACGTAAAGCAATTTGCCTTCGTCAAAATTGTCTCAACTCATTTTCTGTAAATTCATGTACTAATTTGAACCCAAAAAAGTTAATCAAGTATCTAATTGGATAAAAGAAAAAACTTGAATATTAACTAAACTTTGAAATTAAGTTCTGATATCAAAATATCTATTTATGCTATGATTAGGAGCATCACCATGATGCATGTGTACAGGGATGGATCGAAGGGTGAGTAGGACGGCAGTTCTTTGAAAATTTAAATATATATATATATGTTCTATTAAAAATCTATTTTTGCTCCTTAGAATCTTATAAATTTTTCACGCATAAAATTTTAGAATTTCGACCCCTAACACAAAATTCTGTATCCGTCTCTAGATGTGGGGAGGCCACAAATAAGAACCAAAGTGGCTTTCAATTGTTATTATTTCTTCACTCTTCATTTTTCAAATAATATGAGAGGTTAAATTATTTCTCGAGTATTTAGTTAAATTGAGCGAAAATATTTTAATTTAGTCAAGTTGATGAGTTCTAGTTCATCATCTTAACTCAGTTCAATTTACTCTTTAACAGTGTCGAGTGAAATAAAATTTAAATTAAATAAATTTATTCAAATTATTTAAAAATGTATATATTAAATGATAAACTTAATTTGATCATTTACTGGTTCAAGGGCTCAAATTTATGATTTAGAATTAAAAAAATAAAACTTTTATAATTTAACATATTTTTATAGAATTTGAAGAGTTATATATAGTTTATATATATTTATTTTTAAGGACCAATTTGAATATTTTCTTTTTAAATTGACAAGAACTCAAAGCATATTTGTACTAATTTGTTATTCAATTTATTAAAATTGTAAAAATTTAACTTAGCTCGAACTCAGAAATGGAATAACTTGACAAGATTAATTCAAAAATTTGATCAGTAACTTATTTTTTTCATTTTCGACTTTAAAATGGACTAAATTGCTCATAACCTTATAGTATAAGGACCCCATACATATTTATTCCTTAGATTTGCAGTGAATATGAGATGAGGATGAAAAAGGGAGAGAAACGAGAGAACACAGTTGATTTGATTTGCAAATGAATAATGATTTGATATCTTAAAAGGAAGGTTTGGTTAGCTAAGACAAGGCAAAAAAGAGGAGAGATTGATTGTTTTATAGATTAAAAGTGATAAAATTAAGCGTAAACTACACGTTTAATACCTAAATTACTACTTTTATTCTATTTTGGTATCTAAACCTTAATTTGTTTCAAAACAATACCTAACATTTAGTTTAAGTTTCATTTTGACACCCCACTATTAAAAAATTAATAGAACTACTAACGCGCCATTTTTTATTTTTCAATAATGACGTGACATTATCTTACGGTTACATGTCAACATCACCGTTAAGTTTTTAAAGGCGGGATATTAAAATGAAACTCAAACTAAACGTCGGTATGATTTTGAAACGAAATAAAGTCAGGGTACTAAAATAGAATTAAATAAATAGTTTAGAAACTAAACGTATAATTTATCCGAAAATTAATGTGAAGGACAACTTTATGTTGTGTTGTTTGAATTGAAGACAATTTTCTCCCTTGACCATATTCTAATAAGCTAAGCTCCTTGCTTTTTAATCTATTATTATATTATACAAAAGAACATGCATGTGAGGGTCAAGGGATAGGTATATTCTAATGAATCGATCACTTCGAGAATTTGATTTATGCTTAATCCTCCTAACTCCATAGAAAGCAAATGAAAACATCATGACAACATATATTCTCATCCACATTTATTTTCTAATATTAAAAATTATTTGAATGAATTTGATAGTAAAAAGAATATAGTTTTATTTAGAGATTTCATGTTCAAACTATTATGTTTATAGACTGTGTGCATTATAAATTACTGAATTTTTTGAATATATATTTAGTGGCAGATATATAAATTAAAAATTGGGGATTCAAAATTTTAATGTTCATATTCTAAAAATTTTGGGTATGCAAATTTTTTTACTTTTTTCCTGTTTTCATTAACAAATTAAATTAAATTAAATATTTTTCCTCAAAATAATGAGAGTATAATGACTCCCCTAAAGACCCACGTACATCCGCCCTGTATATATTATTGAGTAATCATTTCAAATTATTTAATAAATTTTATTTGTCACGGTATTCAATTTCATATAAGTCTACGTCATATCTAAAATATAATAAAATGAATATTTCAATTATGATACTTATAGATATTTTAAAAGAATCTCATATTTTAAATTTGAAATTATTGCTTTGATCTATTTTTTAAATAGTTTATGTGATTATAATGTAGTATTTATTCATAATTTTTTAACAATTGACGATGTATAAATTCTATAGATGTAGTTATTCGAATCAAGAATCTCAATAGATAACAGTACTTCTTTTAACTATTAATTATTGATTTGATTCAAATATAAATACTAATTAATAGTAGGGGCTATTCTATTATTTTGAAAAAATAATTAATTTTTTTATATATTAAGAAAAAATTAAAAAGAATTTGCAAATTCATTATTTTTAAGAAAAAAATATTAAAACTATGACGATTTTCCCAGAAAAATAACCCTAAAAAGTTTTTATTCCCTGTCAGGCACCATTCAGATTTTATTTTCCGATCTAACACTCTTGGCATGAAGGTGCGGCCCATGCACGACGGCTTACGCCACGTGGGGTAAGGTGCGCCCCCGAAACGCGTCTTGTGAAACATGTAAAAACGGCAACTTTATATATTTATTTTTTATGTGATATTATTTTTAACAATA